GACTCTGAGTTAAAATTTTGGCTACTAAAAGGATAAGCTGTCATACTAGATTGATTTTTACACAAGGACCCACTGCTCTCTGGGTCCTACGTATGCTCTGGCAGTAGCTGGACTTAGCTAGTGGGTGACAGCATTAGCAAATGCTGTACAGGCCCTGCCTGTATCTCCCAGCCCACTTCTTATTGCAAACACAGGCCATTCTTTGTCCAAGGGCTATTTTCCTGGCTGCGGGGTCCCTACTCAGCCTGAGCAGGAATAGCCTCTAGCCACTCACAACTGGGAATTTGTGTATAAATAATGCAGCTCCCTCACGCCTCAAGTGGGATGACACTGAGGTATGTCTACACTGGTAACCAGAGTTTCCTGTTAGGATTGAGCTCCAGTCATCTACTGTGGTAGCTAGCCTGACAACAAGCAAGCTTTGTTGGCTTTGTTGGCTGCCTTTCCTTCTCTGTCTCCATTCCCTGCTCATCTGCTGGTGCTTCCTGGGATCACATCCTAAATAAATCACTTGTACTCAAACCCTTTTCTCAGGCTCTGCTCCTGGGAGAAATGAACCAAGAGAAGAGCAACAGACTTGGGTTTGAATTTTGACTCTGGCCATTTGTTATGTGTGACATTGGGTGGGTCATTTAATCACTGTGAGAATCAGTTTCCTCTTAACAATGGAGAGATAATGGAGAGAACTATGAATATGGGTTTTTGTTAAAAGTAAATGAGCTGATTATGTAAAGGACTTAACATAGTGTTTGGCATCAGTGAATGAAGAGTAAATGATAGGTATGGTCTCAGTAATTGTCCATCTTCACTATCCAGGAAGAACTAATCTATGGTGATAAAGAAGTCTGGTACCTGACTTTGAATTTAGTACCACTGAAAATGCACTTCTGAGTCCTTGGAGAGTTTCCCTGGAGAATAGCCTTTGCGTGTCCTGATTTTGTTCCCTTTCAGAATTTTCCTTCTGTTTGCTCTCCTTTGATCCTTATTCTGATTTTGTGGGAAATTGAAAGAGAAATGAGGAATAGCTTCAAGTTAGTCATCAGGCTTGTTCAAATAGGATTCAAAGCTTACAATGATCTGAACAGGTTTAACTGTACCTTGGGTATATTCTACCTACGCACAATTCAAAAATTCAAGGGCCCAGAATTCTGATTTATACATAGTTGCTATAAATAGCAAAGGGTATCCTCTAGTACTGATTTATATAAAATAGGACCTCTTCTTCTCCAAAAGTCAGGGGAGTATCCTCAAGGTGTAAGCAGAGGACACAGGCAGAGGAGAGCCCAGGAGAGCAGAAGGAGAGTTGTATGAAACCTCATCCTGATGTTTAAGAACATTCTGGTTGGGTGGCCATTCTTAAGAACCTGTCTCACAAGTTATTAGCTTCCATCTGGGCTGGTTGCATGCCTCATACACGCACAGGAAGGCAATTTAGTATCTTCTACATCTTCTTTACATTATCATTCCAATCTGCGTGGATGTGCTTTGAGGATTAAAGCATTATCCTTTACTGAGCAATTTAGTGTTCTCCTGGGGATGGCGAAGCAGGAAAGACAGCCAGCTGCAACTGACGCCTTACATATTGTGACCTCGTACAATTTCACTTCTCTCACCTCTCGAGGAAGAAGTCATTCAAAGGGACTTGGAGGTACCCCTGCTCTCAGAGTGGCTGTTTTCGTGATGTGAACACAATAGCTGGGAAAGTATGCCCATTTGCAAAAATAGTAAGCATGTCAGTGAGTGGAAACAAGGGCTTTGTGTGTCTGAGAATAAAAGTGTATTAGTTTCCTTTTGGGCTGGAAGAATTTAGCACAGATGTATGGCTCAAAAACAACACAGATTTGTTATCTTACATTTCCGGAGACTAGAAATCTGAAATCGTCTCACTCGGCTCAAATCAGGGTGTGGGCAGGGCTGCTTTCCTTTCTGGAAACTCTAGGGGAGAATCCATTTCCTCGCCTTTTCCGGCTTTCAGAGGCTTCTGGCGTTCCCTGGTCTGTGACCTTCGTCCACTTCAAAGCCAGCAGTGACCATCAGCATCTTTCTCACATGGCATCAGTCTGACATTCACTCTCCTGCTTCCCTTTCCTACACTTAAGGACCCTGTGATTACACTGGACATAGGCGGACGCTCTCTTTGTGTTAAAGTTCACTGTTGAGCAACCTGAATTCCATCTGCAACTTTAATTCCCTTTTATCACATAATGTAATATATTCACAGGCTATGGGGATTAGGACAAAGACTTTTTTTTTTTTTTTTTTTTTTTTTTTTTTTAAGTAGGCTCCATACCCAGCATTGGGCCCAATGTAGGGCTTGAACTCAGGATCCTGAGAACAAGACCTGAGCTGAAGTTCAGACACTTAACCGACTGAGCCACCCAGGCATCCCCAGGACATGGACATCTTTAAAGGTCATTATTCTACCTACAACAGAAAGTTAAGAGCAACAGCAACTCATACATAAGAGAATTTTCACTAGATGATGGAGTTTGGACCCCTGCTGCACAGTTAGTTGGAAGGGGTCCATTTACTTTATTCCTAGCTCACAGACAGCTCCAGGCTTCACCACTGAGCAGTTGTAGGATCTTGGGCAAGTTGTTTAATACCTCAAAGCCCAGATCTCCTCATCTGTAAACTAGCACCTACCTCATGGGGTTGTCCATGAGATTAAATAAGTACCTAAGAGAAGGCCACTAGCTCAGCATCTGGCACAATGTAAATTCTCAGTAAGTGCTGGTTGCTGGTATAAAATAACCACAGCTAATATTTATTATAGAGATGTAGATGAGAACTATTCTCTGCGTTCTGGGAGTACAAAGGGAGGGCGTGAGGAATAAGTTACTGAATGTTTTGAGAGCTTTGTAAAATTGGAAGATAAAATGAAATTCTTGAATTAGATTTCAGCAAAGGATTAAGGAATTAAAATTTTATTTGAAAGTAATAGCAAACCTAAAAAAAATTGCAAGGAGTACTGCAAAGAACACCCACATACCCCTTTACCCAGATTCATCTATTAACATTTTATTCCATCTACTTTATCACTCTATCATCTATCTATCATCTATCTATCTATCATCTATCATCACCCCTATAAAGCCTTCAAGGGAAAAGTAGAGAATAGTAGAATTTGGGTAGAATGGTAGAATTTGGGCTAAATTCCATATAATAACAAATGCAGGATAGAGAGGGTGTACAAGAACTGCTTTGGGGACAGCTAATCTTTACAACCCATAAGCAGATGGTCTTTTCCATCTGATTCTGTTCAAAGCTTTTTAACTTAACTCACAGCTTGTATCTCTGTTTTCGCTGCCACTAGGCATAGGGGAGAACTACTAAATGCTTTGAGCCGATACAATTCATCCAGAGAACAGCACAGAATGAAGCAGAACTGTCCAAACACTTTTTGTTAATTCTTGAAGTACATATATCTTAGCTAGTATACATATCTTAGTGGCTCTACCTTAACTGGCCAAGACCTTATTTTTCAGGCTCTTCTCCAGTAGTTTAGCCTCATGCTAGAGGTTTTGCAGCTCTTTATACACTCCAGATTATTCTATTGGAAATACCCTTTCCCTTATCTCTGATCAGAATTCTATTAACCCTTCAAAGTCTATGCAGATGCTATCAATTTCATGCAATCCCCGAAGTGAAATGACCTCTGCATTCTTATGCGTCATCATAATGTTTTCTACTGTCCTTTAGTGGCACTGGCAATGAAAATGATGAGGATAATAATAATCTAATCACACAGCAGGTACAAGCAACTCAGAAGTTTCCATTGCCAGGCTTCATGCTAAGCAAGTACTTTATGTGCCTTCTCCAACATATGAATCAGGCATTGTAATTATCCTCATTTCTGGAATAGGTAAAGTGAGATCCAAGAAGGTTAAGTAATTTGCCAAGGATTGCATACTAATAAGCTATAGAACAAGGACACAAGTGCTTGGGCCAAAGCCTATACTTTTTTCTTTAATACCAAAGATATTGTATGATAACAATTATATTTTAGGAAAATTTACTTACAAGGAAATTGACAGGTTTTAAAGGTAAAACTCAATGAATTTTAATAAGAATGTACACATCAACCCAGTCAAAATATCAAACATTTCTATCACCCCAGAAAGTTCCTTTATTCCTCTTCTCACCACTTCCCTCCCTCACAATTATGGACAAGTATCATTATGATTTCTAACATCATAGATTAGTTTTACCTAATAGTTTTTTTTAATTTACTATAAACATACTCATATAGTATATACTGTTTGATGTCTGAATTTTTTCATTAAAAGTGATTTTTCTTGAGAGTAATCTATGCTGTATGTATTAGTAGTGTATTTCTTTTTTATCAGAGAGTCATATTCTATTATATGAATACAGCACAGATCTTTTCCATTCTTCTGTTGATAGAAATTTGGGTTGTTTCCAGTCTTGGCTATAACGACTAAAGCTGCTCTGGACATTCTTGTACAAACCTTTGGGTGGACAGACACTGGAAATTCCAAGATGAAGAATTTATGGGTCACAGTATAGGGACATATCTGCTTCTCTTACTAGATTGTAAGCATGTGCTGGGTGGGGATAGTGAAAGGAGACAATATTTTAAGGAAAAACATCACTTTTTACCCGACAATAACATAGAACTTAAGTCTTAAAACTTTCCTAAGGCAGAACTATAGAAAAGGAAGAGTTATAACACTTCTGATAATTAAGCATCAGTCTCCTAAGAGATCAGTCATGTCTTCAGAGGCTGCATTGCAAGACCACTAATAATGGTGACATTAATGTGTTTGGGTTCCACTTAGCAATCTCGGTGTTTAAAGCACTTCAACCATTTGTTTCAGGTCAGCAGAGGTTAACAAGCCAGTAGTGAATATAAACATAATTGTGTTTCATTAGGGCTAAATTCCCAGTTGGAAGAGCAAGGACAAAGCCCCATCAAAAATCTTTACTTTCTTCTAGAAGCAAGCAATACATGTTGGGATAAAATCATTGATACTCACTGTTGTGTTTGAAGATCCTTATGGTTGCACCTGAGAGTCGGGCCCCAAGTACAAGAGATGCATGGTTTAACTCATCACTTAAAATGAGGCATCCCTGTTCAGAAAGCAAGCACACAAAACACAGGCCAATAAATAAAATTAAAGAAAAACAACACGTGGGAACAGAAAGACACTTCAAGACCTGTATCACACATCCCCCAAACCCTCTTTAATTTTAAAAGAACAAGTTTTGCCTGATGTCTATGTGGATAAAATCCTGTAGACAATTAGCTGATAAAGATGGGTATTACTTTAAGGGATTACATCTTTAACCATTTGCATTTGATTTTCATCAGAAAGGATCCTTCAAGACCTTGTTTAAATGTCAGCTACCATTTTCTAAAGAATTGATCTTTGACAGGAAAGTGGATATACTTTGGGTGGATTGTGGTTTGCTGGGGTTCTTCAATCCTGTGGTGTATTATTTGGGACAGTTTCGGTGTTCTCCCTCTGGAGGGCAGGGGTCTTTTCTGCAGGGCCTTTCAAGCTCTTGTTTTCCTATTCTCATTCTCCTCTGTATTGACATCCTTGTAGACAAAAACATCACTGCTTTCCAGCTAAAAACGTCACATTTGGAAAAGTGTGGATGGCAATTCAGTCTGAGGCGAGTGAAAAAGATCAATCAAATTTACTGCTTATAAATTATAGTTGTGAAATTAGTTTTCTTTCTTAATTTAAAAATTTCTAAATTATAAAATTGCTCAAGTGTACCAAAAATGCAGAAACAAATGATGGTGGCCATTTGTGGCCACCCAGAATCTTTGAGTTCTTGCTCATATTTTGGAAACTTCACACATGACATGTTTTAAGTTTTGGGGGCAAGAGCCAGCAATATTCTCATACCTCCATACTCTAGATGTGTGTGTGTGTGTATTTATATATATATTTTTAGGGATACCTCATGATACCTCACCCCCAAATTCTTCATCAGGTATTTACTGAGAACAAGGACATTCTCTGGCTGAATCATAATGCAATGATCATACCCAAAAAATCCAACATTCATATAGCACTATCACCTAAGATAGAGCCTGAATTCATATTTCTCCAACTGTCCTAATGATATCAGTGTCTTACAGATGTTTTATTTCCTTCTATTTTTTCAGTGCAGAATCCAGTAAAAGATCATATATTGCATTTGTCATGAATCAGATTTTTTTAAACCTAAATCTGATTATGACACTTGCTTACTTAAACTGAGCCAACCAAATTCCCCATTTTCCTCAGAAAGAATTTCCAATACTCAAGCATGACTACAAGATTCTTTGCAATGTGCCTTCATCTCTAGTCTCGTCTACATCTACTACCTTATATTTTAGTACTTCCAAAGCTCAGGACTTTATGCATGCTGCTCCCTCTTCCTTATCTTAAAGGAAAAATTTAACAGACAAGTAACAGATTCAGTTTTTCCTTTTTTATTATTATTATGTTATGTTAATCACCATACATTACATCATTAGTTTTTGATGTAGTGTTCCATGATTCATTGTTTGCGTATAACACCCAGTGTTCCATGGAGAACGTGCCCTCTTTAATACCCAACACCAGGCTAACCCATCTCCCCAACCCCTTCCCCTCTAGAACCCTCAGTTTGTTTCTCAGAGTCCATAGTCTCTCATGGTTCATCTCCCCCTCCAATTTCCCCCCCTTCATTCTTCCCTTCCTGCTATCTTCTTTTTTTTTTTTTAACATATAATGTATTATTTGTTTCAGAGGTACCGATTTGTGATTCAACAGTCTTACACAGTTCACAGCTCTCACCATAGCACATACCCTCCCCAATGTCTATCACCCAGCCACCCATCCCTCCCACCCCCCACCACTCCAGCAACCCTCAGTTTGTTTCCTGAGATTAAGAATTCCTCATGTCAGTGAAGTCATATGATACATGTCTTTCTCTGATTGACTTATTTCACTCAGCATAATACCCTCCTGTTCCATCCACTTTGTTGCAAATGGCAAGATTTCATTCCTTTTGATGGCTGCATAATATTCCATTGTATATATAGACCACATCTTCTTTATCCATTCATCTGTTGATGGACATCTTGGCTCTGTCCACAATTTAGCTATTGTGGACATTGCTGCTATAAACATTGGGTTGTACATACCCCTTCGGAACCCTACATTTGTATCTTTGGGGTAAATACCCAGTAGTGCAATTGCTGGATTGTATGGTAGCTCTATTTTCAACTTTTTGAGGAGCCTCCATACTGTTTTCTAGAGTGGCTGCACCAGGTTGCATTCCCACCAACAGTGTAGGAGGGTTCCCCTTTCTCCGCATCCCTGCCAACATCTGTCATTTCCTGACTTGTTAATTTTAGCCATTCTGACTGGTGTGAGGTGGTATCTCATTGAGGATTTGATTTGGATTTCCCTGATGCCGAGCAATGTTGAGCACTTTTTCGTGTATCTGTTGGCCATTTGGATGTCTTCTTTGGAAAAATGTCTGTTCATGTCTTCTGCCCATTTCTTGATTGGATCATTTGTTCTTTGGGTGTTGAGTTGGATAAGTTCTTTATAGATGTTGGATACTAGCCCATTATCTGATATGTCATTTGCAAATATATTCTCCCATTGTCTAGGTTGTCTTTAGGTTTTGTTGACTGTTTTTTTTGCTGTGCAAAAGCTTTTTCTCTTGATGAAGTCCCAGTAGTTCATTTTTGCCCTTGCTTCCCTTGCCTTTGGTGATGTTTCTAAGAAGAAGTTGCTGCAGCTGAGGTCAAAGAGGTTGCTGTCTGTGTTCTCCTTTAGGATTTTCATGGACTCCTGTCTCACATTTAGGTCTTTCAACCATTTGGAGTCTATTTTTGTGTGTGGTGTAAGAAAATGGCCCAGTTTCATTCTTCTGCATGTGGCTGTCCAATTTTCCCAACACCATTTGTTGAAGAGACTGTCTTTTTTCCATTGGACATTCTTTCCTGCTTTGTCAAAAATTAGTTGACTATAGAGTTGAGGGTCCATTTCTGGGCTCTTGATTCTGTTCCATTGATCTATGTGTCTGTTTTTGTGCCAGTACCATACTGTCTTGATGATGACAGCCTTGTAGTAGAGATTGAAGTCCGGAATTGTGATGCCACCAGCTTTACTTTTCTTTTTTCAACATTCCTCTGGCTATTCGGGGTCTTTTCTCGTTCCATACAAATTTTAGGATTATATGTTCCATTTCTTTGAAAAAAGTGGATGGTATTTTGATAGGGATTGCATTGAATGTATAGATTGCTCTAGGTAGCATTGACATCTTCACAATGTTGGTTCTCCCAATCCATGAGCATGGAACGTTTTTCCATTTCTTTGTGTCTTCCTCAATTTCTTTCATGAGTATTTTATAGTTTTCTGAGTACAGATTCTTTACCTCTTTGGTTAGATTTATTCCTAGGTATCTTATGGTTTTGGGTGCCATTGTAAATGGGATTGACTCCTTAATTTCTCTTTCTTCTGTCTTGTTGTTGGTGTATAGGAAGGCCACTGATTTCTGTGCATTGATTTTATATCCTGCCACATTACTGAATTCCTGTATGAGTTCTAGCAGTTTTGAGGTGGAGTCTTTTGGGTTTTCCACATAAAGTATCATATCATCTGCAAAGAGTGAGAGTTTGACTTCTTCTTTGCTGATATGGATGCCTTTTATTTCTTTTTGTTGTCTGATTGCTGTGGCTAGGACTTCTAATACTATGTTGAATAACAGTGGTGAGAGTGGATATCCCTGCCATGTTTCTGACCTTAGCGGGAAAGCTCTCAGTTTTTCCCCATTGAGAATGATATTCGCTGTGGGTTTTTCATAGATGGCTTTCATGATATTGAGGTATCTACCCTCTATCCCTATACTCTGAAGAGTTTTGATCAAGAAAGGATGCTGTACTTTGTCAAATGCTTTTTCTGCATCTATTGAGAGGATCATATGATTCTTGTTCTTTCTTTGATTAATGTATTCTATCACATTGATTGATTTGTGGATGTTGAACCAACCTTGCAGCCCAGGGATAAATCCCACTTGGTCGTGGTGAATAATCCTTTTAATGTACTGTTGGATCCTATTGGCTAGTATTTTGGTGAGAATTGTTGCATCCGTGTTCATCAAGGATATGGGTCTGTAATTCTCCTTTTTAATGGGGTCTTTGTCTGGTTTGGGGATCAAGGTAATGGTGGCCTCATAAAATGAGTTTGGAAGTTTTCCTTCCATTTCAATTTTTTGGAACAGTTTCCAAAGAATCGGTATTAATTCTTCTTGAAACGTTTGGTAGAATTCCCCTGTGAAGACATCTGTTCCTGGGCTTTTGTTTGTTGGGAGATTTTTGATGACTGCTTCAATTTCCTTAGTGGTTATAGGTCTGTTCAGGTTTTCATTTCTTCCTGGTTTCGTTTTGGTAGTTGATACATCTCTAGGAAAGCATCCATTTCTTCCAGATTGTCTAATTTGCTGGCATAGATTTGCTCATAATATGTTCTTATAATTATTTGTATTTCTTTGATGTTGGTTGTGATCTCTCCTCTTTCATTCATGATTTTTATTTATTTGGGTCATTTCTCTTTTCTTTTTGATAAGTCTGGCTAGGGGTTTATAAATATTGTTAATACTTTCAAAGAACCACCTCCTAGTTTCGTTGATCTGTTCTACTGTTCTTTTGGTTTCTAATTCACTGATATCTGCTCTGATCTTTATTATTTCTTTTCTCCTTCTGGGTTTAGGCTTTATTTGCTGTTCTTTCTCCAGCTCCTTTAGGTGTAGGGTTAGGTTGTGTATTTGAGACCTTTCTTGTTTCTTGAGAAAGGCTTGTATTGCTATATACTTTCCTCTTAGGACTGCCTTTGCTGCATCCCAAAGATTTTGAACAGTTGTGTTTTCATTTTCATTGGTTTCCATGAATTTTTTTAATTCTTCTTTAATTTCCTGGTTGACCCATTCATTATTTAGTAGGAGCCCTTTCAGCCTCCACGTATTTGAGTTCTTTCCGACTTTCCTCTTGTGATTGAATTCTAATTTCAAAGCATTGTGGTCTGAAAATATGCAGGGAATGATCCCAATCTTTTGGTACCAGTTGAGACCTGATTTGTGACCTAGGATGTGATCAGTTCTGGAGAATGTTCCATGGGCACTAGAGAAGAATGTGTATTCTGTTGTTTTGGGATGGAATGTTCTGAATATATCTGTGAAGTCCATTTGGTCCAGTGTGTCATTTAAAGTGCTTATTTCCTTGTTGATCTTTTGCTTAGATGATCTGTCCGTTTCAGTCTGGGGGTTGTTAATGTCCCCTACTATTATTGTATTGTTGTTGATGTGTTTCTTTGTTTTTGTTATTAATTGGCCTATATAATTGGCTGCTCCTGTGTTAGGGGCATAGATATTTACAATTGTTAGATCTTCTTGTTGGATAGACCCTTTAAGTAGGATATAGTGTCCTTCCTCATCTCTTATTACAGTCTTTGTTTTAAAATCTAATTTGTCTGACATAAGGATTGTCACCCCAGCTTTCTTTTGGTGTCCATTAGCATGGTAAATAGTCCCCCCCCCTCACTTTCAATCTTCGGGCTCCTTTGGGTCTAAAATGAGTCTCTTGCAGACAGCATATCGATGGTTCTTGTTTTTTAATCCAATCTAATAGCCTGTGTCTTTTGATTGGGCCATTTAGCCCATATACATTCAGGGTAACTATTGAAAGATAAGAATTTAGTGCCATTGTATTGCCTGTAAGGTGACTGTTACTGTATATTGTCTGTGTTCCTTTCTGGTCTATGCTGCTTTTAGGCTCTCTCTTTGCTTAGAAGACCCCTTTCAATATTTCTTGTAGGGCTGGTTTCGTGTTTGCAAATTCCTTTAGTTTTTGTTTGTCCTGGAAGCTTTTTATCTCTCATTTTATTTTCAATGGCAGCCTAGCTGGATATAGTATTCTTGGCTGTGTATTTTTCTCATTTAGTGCTCTGAATATATCATGCCAGTCCTTTCTGGCTTGCCAGGTCTCTGTGGATAGGTCTGTTGTCAGTCTAATGTTTCTACCATTTTAGGTTACACATCTCTTCTCCTGAGCTGCTTTGAGGATTTTCTCTTTGTCTCTGAGACTCGTAAGTTTTACCATTAGATGTTGGAATGTTGATCTATTTTTGTTGATTTTGAGGGGGGTTCTCTGTGCCTCCTGGATTTTGATGCCTGTTTGCTTCCCCAAATTAGGTAAGTTCTCTGGTATAATTGGCTCCAGTATACCTCTTGCCCCTCTCTCTCTTTCTTCTTCTTCTTCTGGGATCCCAATTATTCTAATGTTGTTTCATATTGTGGTATTACTTATCTCTCGAATTCTGCCCTCGTGGTCCAGTCATTGTTTATCTCTCTTTTTCTCAGCTTCTTTATTTTCCATCATTTGGTCTTCTATATCACTAATTCTCCTTTCTGCCTCATTTATCCTAGCAGTTAGAGCCTCCAGTTTTGATTGCACCTCATTAATAGCCTTTTTGATTTCGACTTGGTTAGATTTTAATTATTTTATTTCTCCAGAAAGGGTTTGTCTAATAACTTCCCTGCTTTTTTCAAGCCCAGGTAGTATCTTTAAAACCATCATTCTGAACTCTAGTTCTGACATCTTACTAATGTCCTTATTGATTACATCCCTGGCAGTCAGTACTGCGTCTTGTTCTTTTCGTTGAGGTGATTTTTTCCGTCTTGTCATTTTGTCCAGAGGAGAATAGATGAATGAGAGAACAAAATGCTAACAGGGTAAGAACATTCCCAGAAAAGATTCACTAAACAAATCAGAAAAGACCTGAAACCAGGGGAAAAGAAAGAAAGGAAAAAGAAAAAAGAAAAAGGAAAAGATAAAAACAAACAAACAAAAACAAAACAAAACAAAACAGAATATGATCAAGTATGATCAGGCTGGTGCATAGATCAGTGCCACACACTGAATTTTGGGTGTATTTTGGTCTGTTAGAAGAAAGTGCCTCCCAAAATTTTAAAGAATGGAAAACTTATATATGTACAAAAATAAGGGTTAATACTCTGAAGGGATGGAATATGATTGTAACGATGAAGAATATAAAAGATTTTATAAAAGGAATTGATAAGAAGTTGGTTGGAAAAAGAAAGAAGAGGATTTAAAAAAAGGGGGGAGACAGAATGTCATCAGGTGGGAGACTAGAACAAAGCCATACACTAGAGATTTAGGGTATATTTTGATCTGTTAGAAGAAACTGTATCCCAAAATTTTAAAGAGAGAAAAACTTTTATATATATATATATATATATATATATATATATATATATATATATATACACATACCAAAAATAAGGTTAACTACTATGAAGGGACAGAATATGACTCTAAAAATGAAAAATAAAAAACATTTTTAAAAAAGGGATTGATAAGATGTTGGTTGAAAAAGGGAAAAAGAAAAAATTCAAAAAAAAAAACCCCACTTAACTTTGAAAGACTAAATAAACATGGGAAAAAAGCCATGAATTCTATGTGCAGTATTCCCCTAGCGCTGGAGTTCTGCCATTCTCATTGATCGGTAAACTTGGTCTTGGCTGGCTGTTCTTGCTGATCTTCTGGGGGAAGGGCCTGTTGCCATGGTTCCCAAATGTCTTTGCCGGAGGCGGAATTGTCCTGCCCTTGCTGGGTCCAGGCTATGTAATCTGCTCAGGTTTGCTCTCTGGAGCTTTTGTTCCCTGCAAGCTTTCCATACAGCTTTGGAGGATGAGAGTGAAAATGGTGGCCTCCCAATCTCCTGCGCAGATGAGCCGAGAGCTTGGGGCCCCACTCCTCAGTGTGCCTCCAGAGAAAAGCAGTCAATCACTCCCGTCTCCCCAGTCTCTGGCTGCACTCCGTGCTCACCTGGCCTGTGACCGAGCATTTCTATCTCTGGCTCACAACCCCATGTGGAGTCTCCAAACCCAGCAGATACCTGCAGTGCTCTCCCGCGCCACTCCTCCCGGGGGAGGAAGGGGAGTCTCCCTGGATCTGCCGTTTGTTGGGTCCCTGCTGGAGAAGCAGTGGCCCGACTGTGCTGTGGATCACAGTTTATGGCAACCCCGAGCTGAGAGCCCACGCCTCAGCTCCATCTCTGCAGCCAGCTTCCCTGCTCTGATACCTGGGAGCTCTGCTGCACCCCAGCACCCCCGGTCTTTCTGTGATCCCAAGGGTCCTGAGACCACACTGTCCCGCGAGGGTTCCACCCCCCGCTTAGCCACTGGAGTGACGTCCCTCAGCGGAGCCGACTTCTAAAAGTTCCGATTTTGTGCTCCACTGCTCTATCACTTGTCAGAAGCGGCCACGGAGGCCCCCTCCCCACCGTCTACCTTCCTGAATATCTCCTTGGATTCACTTCTCTGCACCTCCTACCTTCCAGAAAGTGGTCGCTTTTCTGTTCAGAGTTGTTGCTATTCTTTTCTTTGATCTCCTGTTGAGTTCGTAGGTGTTCAGAATGGTTTGATCCCTATCCAGCTGATTTCCTGGGACCAGACGAAATTTAGGTCTCCTACTCCTCCGCCATCTTGCTCCGCCCACCTAGATTCAGTCCTTATGTCACCCACTTTGCATAGGCATCTCAGTCTTTCCCAAGAAGAGCTTGGAAGCAACTCGTTTGCCCTTCTTCATGTATGTGCATGTATTTTCTGTGGTATTCATCCTATTGTTTTTTGGTACATTGTTTCCCCCCTAGACTGTAAACAACATACATTTATAAGGCACAGGTCTTATTCATCTTTGTATGCACTGTATCTTGCTTTATATGAGGACAAAGTCATTTCTCAATAAGTGATCTGTTGAAAGAATAAATGAATGAGTGGCATGAGCAAAATGTTTTGTTCAAATAAATGCTCCATAAGCGTTTTCTACATTGTAAATGAGGACGTGGGAGACTGAAAATTTCATTGATGTTGCTAAACTATCATCAAAGATGAAATTTGACCCTTGTCTAGGACTGCAATTCTATAAACAGAATATCTTTATAAACAGATTTGCTGGACTAAGCTGGTATATTTATTTAAAAAGCTGGACATCCAATCAGATTTTCCTAGAAAAAGCACCTTCTCTGCCATACTTCTAATGAAGGACCTGCTCAGAGTTGTGATTCTTAGGAATAACACAGCAGAAGACAATTATATTAACAAATTCTCACCTTTCCGACTAGTGCAGGGATATTCATTGAGTTAGTTGCAAATCCCATCCCAAAGACCATAGCTGCTTCTACGTTCAGGAACTTAGCCACAAGGTTCTCCAATTCTTCATGCTTATCCAAGGTTCCTGCACATGAAATGATGGGATGAGTACATCTTCTTTTCTCAACAAGTTTGAAAACTCAAAATCCAGTGCATACCCATCACCAAAAGAAATGTGCTACACAAGAGAGTGTGTAGCAGGTATATTTGCCACAGCCGCAATCAAGAAAGAACCCACATGTCCACATATTGTAGAATGAACAAATTAAATACCTTGTGGAGTTATTTACATAGTGTAATTAAACACCGTAATGAGAAGGAACAATCTATTACCCTACACAACAAAATGAAAAAAATCTCACATATATGTTGTTGAGTGCAAGAAGTCAGACACATACACTCATACAGGCTGAGTCCATTTATAGAAAGTTTACAAACAGACAAAACTAACCTATAGTGTTAGCAGTCAGTATAGTGGTTGATTTCGTTGGGAGCACAAAGAGAACTTTGAGATTCTCTAAATGTTTTGTTTCTAGATTTGGGTGCTGGTTACACAGGTATGTTTGCTTTGTGAAAATACTTTGAGCTGTATAGTTAGGATTGGCCTATTTTTCTATATAAATATTGATAATGCAATAAAATCTACAAAAAAATACCACAATTTTTCTCTCCTCTCACCCTACCTCCCTCAAGTGATTAATTAAGTTATAACCCTCTCCAAGGGGCCCCACACTTAAATCCAAACAGATCCCATGATTTCTATAGATAATAGTAAATCTAGTTATAACTTATGTTAGTCACCATAAAATACATCATTAGTTTTTGATGTGGTGATCCACGATCCATTGTTTTCATAGAACACCCAGTGCTCCATGCAGTATGTACCCTCCTTAATACCCATCACCAGGCTAACCAATCCCCCTCCCCCCTCCCCTCTAAAACCCTGTTTGTTTCTCAGAGTCCATAGTCTCTCATGGTTCATCTCCCCCTCTGATTTCCCCCCTTCATTGTTCCCTTCCTTCCTCTAATGTCCTCCCTGCTATTCCTTATGTTCCACAGATAAGTGAAACCATATGATAATCGACTTTCTCTGCTTGACTTATTTCACTTAGCGTAATCTCCTCCAGTCCCATCGATGTTGATGTAAAAGTTGGGTATTCATCCTTTGTGATGGCTGAGTAATATTCCATTGTATCTGTGGACCACATCTTCTTTATCCATTCATCTGTTGAAGGGCATCTCAGCTCTTTCCACAGTTTGGCTATTGCAGACATTGCTGCTATGAACATTGGGGTGCATATGGCCCTTCTTTTCACTACATCTGTGTCTTTGAGGTAAATGCCCAGGAGTGCAATTGCTGGGTCATAGGGTAGCTCTATTTTTAAATTTTTGAGGAACCTCCACACTGTTTTCCAAAGTGGCTGTACCAACTTGCATTCCCACCAAAAGTGTAAGAGGGTTACCCTTTCTCCACAACCTCTCCAACATTTGTTGTTTCTTTCCCTGTCCATATACATTATTTTTTGAATGTTTAGTACAAGAGCAACAATAATAAACTAATGTAAAATAGCTCATCAATATTTTTATATTGATTACATCTTGAGTAGTTTGATGTACTTACATCTGAGTATTGGAGTGGTTCTAGAATACTATTTTGGATATTTTGGGTCAAACAAAACATTTAATGAAATTAAGTTTACCTCTTTTCTTTAAACTTTTTTTTTATGTGGCTACTAGAAATTTTAAATTCCACATGTGTCTTGCATTATATTTTTATTGGACAGTGCTGGGTACATGATACACTTGGCAGAACATAAAAATGTACAAGTGGAGAGATATTGTAATTTGCAACCACAGAACATAGAAGCAGATTTAACTCAGATTTAAATTAAAGGAATATTGTTAGCATATTCGGGACTACTATAAACATGGTTTTTTCAACCTAAGGATCAACATATTTTACTAGTGTGTAACATATTTACATAGTGTGATACCAGAATTTTATTAAATTGGCAAATTATCTTGCTTACTGTGCTCAAATAGTGAAGGGTTAAACTTGAGAAGGCATGGACTAGTGAGTTCAAAGAGTTATTTTGCATTTGATATGAAAGAGGACATTTCATGGATTATCTTTGTCCTTCCTGAGTGGTCACATTGTCATACAACAGATGGCTGGTGGCCTTTCTTCTCAATCTAGAATTCATTTACCTTCAGATTGTCAGAAACCATAGTAAAACAAGTGTTCTAGCAGAATCAATTTTAGTGGGGTGGGGTGGGGAGTTAAAATTTTAAACTGTCATTTAAAACTTTATTATTTCTGTATCAAAGATACAGAGAAAAAAGAAATGCTAAAATTTAAAGAGAAAACACGGGCACATAATCACTCATCAGATTTGTTTTTATCTAATGGAGACTGCATCCCAAAGGGAATGGCCCCAAGGATAGGAAGTGAATAGGCCATTGGCCTGGGCATGACAGCCTTGGGTTCTGGCCTCAGCTTTTCCACCAAAGAGTGGCCTCTGGCTACCTCTCCTTGAAGTTTCCAGGGAGATTGGGAGAGGTGCTGTTTTAGGCTTCCCTGACGTTGGGGGTGGTCTTTCCTCCACATAGAATGGTCTTCTTTAAGGTCCCACTCATTCTTTGACATCCACCTCATATGATGTCTTTTCTTAGATGCTGTTCTCAGTTTCCCCAGGCAAACTTGGTCATTTTCTTCTGAGATCACATAAGCCTCATTACATAATAATTATAGCATTTACTAAGTTGAACTTTCATGAGGCCATCTTCTCTACTACAGAAAGAGCCCTTGGGGTGCCGATACTGTGTGTAGGATGTTCATCTTGGCAACCACAGAGTACTGACACAGTATAATGCAGTACTCACACATAGTAGGTGCTTGTTGAGTTGTATGCTGTCTTTGATGGAGAAAAAAGACAGCACTAAGCCCAGAGTAGGGGATGTCACAGGGAAGAAAGTCAAGAGGTCACATGATGCTAGGGCAAAAAGGTGATTATGTAGTGAGCTCCACCTTGAAAACACCCATACTTGAAGAAGGCCTCCAGCAAGCATGGAGGGTGCCCAAATATTGCCACCTTGGTAAATTTCCCCATGAGCCTTTCCTTCCCAGAGAGTCAGGTGACAACTGCGTCCTGGCCCAGTCACCCAAAAATGAGTAGAACTTCACGGTGAGTATCTGGGGTATCTTCCTCCACTTTCATCTTCCCCATGTCTGCCATCCAGGGGTTTATCTATAACAGATGCATCACTAAAAGTCCTTAGGATAATGTAGAATGTGTTGTAAGCAATCAAACAGCCAACTAACTAGTAAGAAGCGGGTGTATCCAAGAACATCCTGAGAAAGTGCCCTCTGTGAGTCTTTATTATTAGCCCTGGCTTGCGGAGAGGAAGAAGAGAGGAAATGCTGATGTCCATATTAGGTCTCCAGATCCAGCCTTCTTCTGGATTTCCAGTGGTCAAGTAGATAGTAAACTAATATTCAAATATACTTATTTCTATGACCACATGTCTCACAGCTGAGTTATGAGTGGTTTTGCATCTAGGGTCTTATCTTCATTTGCAGAAAATAACAGTCCCCACTTGCAACCCCCATTTTTATAGAACTTCTCTGTTTGGTGCTCACAGCTCAAACTTAATAAACAGATATGAGAGAGTCCCAGGATGGCTGGACATTTTCTACATCAGGAAGCCATGCCTCTCAAAGTTAGACTGGGCTGTCTGGATGGGGTATTCATTAAGGAATACTGAAAAGTGTGGCTCATTTGTATTAATTGAGAGCTGCTTTCCTCCTCCCGCTCTTCACACTGAAGAACTAAAAATGTAGGAAGACCTTGGGGAAACAAAACACTAACAAAAACTTAATGAGCTTGCTTCCTGCAAACATTCAGGCTAGATCCTAATTGGGTGGAGGTGCCTGAGTCATATCAAGTTGCAGTTGGTGGTCTGAGTATTTGAGTGGTTCTAGAAATTATATTCAACATTTTGTCTTTGTTATGTAAATATGGGAATTTTTTTTTAATCCCAAGAAAGCACAGCTATAGTCTGAACCAAAGGTACAAATAAATTCATAGTGATTTTTATCTCTTTCTCTCTGACTTTAGTATTTTTTTTTTTTAGCCTCTGAAGGTCAATAACAGCCACAAACTAGCTAGTGACAATGGATCTCCAAACTGCTATGTTGTGCCTACTTGTTCTTATCCTGGAGGTTTATTTATCCAATGGGATACTGAAAACCTGCTTTGTGAATCAAAGAACAAATATAAGCTGGTTGTATCCTCTTCCCAGCTTTCTCAACAGTATTTTCATGTGTCAAACACTGGGCTTGCTGTCATCAGTCAAATCATAAAAATCAGATGCAGGAGAAAATACCAATATTATGCTTATGGACTGTATACTTCTGCTGGATTTTTATTGATACGGACTGGTTCATACTTTTTAGTCAGAACATAAAGATTGCTGGCCTTCAAACTGATGCTGACTAATAGTAGAGTGTGGGTGTTATTAACAAGCTTATTTCACCACCACCAATTCTTTCTGTTCAGCACATGTGAAGACTATTTTCCAAACTGTGACTGTAGTCACTTTTTGTCCAGAATATCCTGTTTGTAGATTGTTTCTTAGACTTGATCTGGAAGCAGACTGGCATTTCATGACAACCTGCCAGCAGGCTCACCTGGCTGTTCCAATTTGCCATGGATATCAGCCCACATCTGAACCACTTTGCTTGAACTGGGGATGTGCATGTGGGAAGTTAGGGGTAGACATTGACAATGTACTTGGTCTTCCTCAAGTTGAGGGATATACATAGGTGCCAATGTCAATGAAAGTTAATCTGTATTCTCAGTATGTTTGGATATAACAAGACTTTTTGTCTAAATGAAGTAAAAGAGACTGAACTTTGATGTACATTGATGTGCACTGGATTTGGAAATCTGGACAATTGCTAATAAATCTAGAGGATTCTTCTTCCCAAGTTGCAAAGAGGGCAGGTACTTATCTACAACAGCAAACATTTTATGGAGGGCCAGAGAGAAAATAGTTTGGACTTTGTGGGCCAGATGGTCTCTG